CAGGGGCACATAAGATCTTCCACAGAACTACGCTGATAATCCATTCTCGAGACATCGTACACTACGGCATGCTCAGGAAAGACCGCCCGAACTTCGAGTCTCCATTTTGCACAGAAATGTGGTTGATCCCGTTGAGAAGAAGAATAAGAGAAGCGTTAGAAATTAAGCAGCAAAACCCACCGATCAACAACAAGGAGGAGATGAGAGTGGCAATGAGTCTGATATCAGTGTAGGACGTGCACTAGGAAGACAAACGTGACATTCCCTAGATCACCCTTGTCCTACATCTGTATATATACCCAGAACCCTACCACTTTCCAATTTTTGCCTATATCTGCATAAGAAAATAGGCAACCCCTACCTCCCCCCCCTCCCCGGACAACTCTTTGCAGGTTGCTACAGATTCTATGATGAGTGTTGCAGCCGTATTAATGTGCATGTGTAAGATCTTACTTGTATGTGTAATTCAGTGATGCTCAGGCCCGAAACGTAGTCAATAAATTCTCGAAGAAAATTAGAGCTTTCCACTCCCATACATAAGAACAAATCGATTAATCGGTACAAAGGGCCAATTCGTTTTTCGTATGAGCATAATTCTGGGTATTTTTCATCAGAAAAGCAAGGCTGGGCTGCAGAGAGCATAATTCCTTGCCCTAATGGTTTTTTGTGGAACCTGAATTCATCAAGAATATGTTTTTTCCTTTGAAATTCCATGCTAACACTACCCGTTGAACTGGGAAGGGAATGAAGGGCAGAAATCCGATTGAGGTACAGCATCGGATGCGTGAAATGGGGTGTCGTTACGATCCCTTCCTCCAAACCCCCGGTTCTCCCTCTTTGCTGCGACTCTCTCCCACCAGTCTGCAATTGACGACGTTGCAATCAAGCGGGGGCGGTTTAGGGAGAAAAAAGCCTGCCTTGACTGCCTTTTTCGCCAATAGTGATCGGCTAGTGATCGATTTCAGAAGAAAACAACCAATGGTGAGCGGAAAACGCGCTCATTCCATTCCTCTTAAAGCAGTCCCCCAACTGACTGCAATAATAGCAGCAGGACTTCATCCTAGGAAGGGCCCATCATATTGAAGGGATTTTAGCGGAATGGTGACATTTGAGAAACCGGTAGAGGAATGGTCACGTTAAACTCGCTCAGAGCGGTCTGTATTGATGCAACATGATGCGAGAGTCTCGCGAAAGGTGCGGAGATTTTTATGGAGTGCATGTAATGCCCCTCTGCCCCCCCCCCCTCTCCCTTCGCTACGTAAGAGAATCTAGGACTGTAGACTGATTAGTCTTTGATGCTGAAGGGGGTCATAATTGAGAAAGCGGGAACGGAAAGACGTGCTGAACGACGAGTTTTCTCCATTGCATGACGTGCTATAAATTTCTATTCCCCCCTTGGGAAGAGATTCGAAGAATGGCAACGTTCGAAAGCCTTCCGGGAAGGAAGAAGAAGAAGAGAAGGAGCAACTAGCCCAGAACTCAGCAATGTGGCAGCGCACAAAGAACTCAAAGAGCTCAGAAGCACAGCTTGATGGCGAAATAAAAGAAGAAAAAGTGGGAAATACGTTGAGAAACGGAACAGTCAGAAACTCACAGCTGATAATTTTGATAAGACACGTCTGGCGATCCAATGGATAGTCTTGCAGGGTGAGATGGCAGGCTGAAATAATCATAATCCCCTTCGAATGATTGCTTTTTTGATTGCTAAAAATGACTCTAATGTTGATCCATGCGTGATTCACTAGACAGTGCAGATCTATGAGACTGGCCCATAATTCTTGTTCCGGTTTCCTTCAAATCGAAATAGTTCTGCTCCTGTTCAACCACATCAGCCCTTTACCGTAAAAACGTCTTGATATCGCGCGCAGTTTGCCGATGATGGGGGGGGGGGCATTTTGCACTTTCGTTGCTTCACTAGTTCTGGTTTACAAGTCTCACTCTGGTGAAACCTGTGAACTCTTGTGAAGCTGGAGCAAGCCCATCATGGTAAAACCTGTCAACTCGAGAAGAGGCTGTCTAGATGGGTCGACACGTCGATGGGAAGTCGTTAAAGTGCAAAATGCCCCCCCCCCGTCGCCAAACAGCGCCCTAATACCATTTGGACGCAACTGCAATGGAGGAAGCCGAAGAGATTGGCGCTGTGACAGGACCAGGCATTGCTACTCGCCCGTGGCTGAACCGTGTCAGAGAGGGTTTAGGCAAAGAGACTCCACCTTTTTCCGAGCATCCAGTCAACCTGAATAAAAGTCCCGGCGGCTTGGGAGGGGCATTACCCACTCTCCTAGTTTCCGCAAACTGCCAGGCTACACTTTGATGAGACCTATCAAAAGCTGTGAAAATGCTAAATGGTGTAAGTGAGACACTTTGTCTACTGGAATTCCCAGGTCTTCACAGAATGGCCTGAACTAGATTCGATAAGTGTTATTGCTGTCTCCACCAAGCCGAGCTGCGCCAAAGCCCCGACACAACCGCAGCAACACCGATCGTCATATCTGATGGCGGGTGAACTAGCTCCAAATCACACTTTACGCTGGGGGACCCTAAGCAGGGGGTCCTGTTCGGTTCGATGGCGGAGGGGGTGTTGTCGGCTGGAAAAATTTTTTTGATAGTTGATTTTTCCTGTTTCACGCCCCCCCCCCCTCCTTCCCTCCCATTATCCCTTAGTTGCAGCAGAACTGCGTTGTAAAAACAAATCATCACAATCCAGACGAACCGGCTACGGCAAAGTGACACATCCACCATGTACACAGGTATTTCTACACGAGACCCCATCTGCTCTCCGTTCCTACCAGTTTGTGATGGGAGGAAAAATCAGACAACAGCCACCTCAAAAACGACCTCTTGTAATCCCTCCATCGCCAACTTCTTTCATTCTGTTACAAGGCCATCCAGTCTCTGGCCATTGAATGGTCACATTTGTAGCAGTGACTGCGGCATTTGCCGGACGCTGGGCGAGCCCACTCGAGACTATCCTGCTGATTAGATTTCCATAGAAAGATAGAACAACGAAATGGACAAAACTGTCGGACAAGAATTATGGGACAGCCTAATAGGTCGTGAAGTTGAAGATATGGCACCCTTTTACCGCCAACAGCTGTGCCGCGTTCATACTTCGCGACCAATCGCGGTTTGGGAACCCTTCAAGTCGGCCGACCGCGGTCTAACGCTAATCGTTGGACCGTGGCAAATGGTCAGATTTCTGTTCTGAGTAGAACTGGACCAGCAGTGCTAGTGCTAAACTGTGGAGCGCGGCCAACACAGTTAGGCGATTCCCAAGTCGCGCGACCAAAACACTCGAGTACCAAAGTATGGACGCGGGCTCAGTGGTCGGTGTGAGTCCTTACCCAGGTTGAGCGTCACTCTGGTCCCGTACGCAATAACGCCCTCGGGTGAGACAAACATATTGAAATTATGCACAGTGACTTCATGGAAGTAGGCCGTACGAGCGTTTGCAAAATACAGGTCCGGCAGCCAGATCTTGTCTCGTATTGATTTATCTGGAATCGATATATTGACTTGGGCAGATATCGTATTTAGAGTGAAACAAAAGTGGCACCATTGACTAGTACGTAATCAGATTGATTATGCCTCATTCGGACATCCTGCCAACTCATATACATATAAACATCCATGTCGAATGTCTGAAAATAGATCGATGACTGGTTTATTGATTTGACGCGCACGTCAATTTTTGACTCCAATAACGCACCATTTCCGTAGATCGGAAGTTGCCAAGGCTTTCCACATAGAATCCCACGTGGACCTTCAAGGGACCCGGTTGCCCATTCACCGGGATCGCTTTCTTGTGCAGCTGTGAATAGATCGGATGAAGAGCGTTCACAGAACTGCTGAAACAGCAACAATTGAGCAACAGCGCGTTCACACTTCGCGAGAAGTGAACGCGCGAGCGATGAAGATCGCAAAGTTTGGACGTGCTTCTGTCGGCGAAGGCTGAATGATTTGTGCTGTCAACTACATTTTCCCGAAACCGCGGAAATAGAGGACTGTGTTGAATGAACCTGGAGCAGTTCGGCTAGGGTGGAGCATTTTGCACTTACTGATTGCCACCGTGTGTCGAACCATCGAAAAGACAGTCGTGAAATATTGTGAAGCCTTACTCGCCAACTCTTGCAAAGAACACCTGTCACTCTTGTAGCAGGAACAACACGTGGCAAACGGAAAGGCAGCGGTGCAGAACGCCACCTCTTCCCTTCCCTCCCCCCCCCCGGCCAAACTGCGGCCTGAATCCTCTCGAAGGGCAGCTTTTAGCATATTACCAGAATGCGTTTTCGTTAAGGTCGTTAGGGTGTAAAAGCACCACAAATAGGATTTGTGCTCCCTCGAAAGGATTACCCTTCGTAGAACCAGCCGTTCCAAGAGGAAATCGCTCAACTGTCTGGATTACCCGCTGTTCCCGAACAGCCTTCGAGGATAAAGCTTCAGTGGAAAGAGTGGCCATTTGAATGGAACAGAAGGCTCAGAGAGGGGGGGGGTGCTTTACTTCGGGACCTTAGCCACGATTTACTTGTCAAGGAACGCCTATTCATGAGGAGAATATCCCATCAGGAGACAGCAGAAGCTGATAGACAGCTTGCTACTCCCACAAAGCCTGAATTAGTATTTGCTCGGTAAGGATCTCCTCTCCACCCCCTCGAGGGCATTTCTTCCTGTGTGGGAAACCGGAAAAATTTTTGGAAGACTGGTAGATAGCAGAGAAAAAGTAAGGAAGATGGAAAGCGGCATTAGGAAGGGTTAGGTGAGGGAGGGTGAGGAATCGTAGCAGATGTTGAATTTTGAGAAGTGCGGGGTATCACTGAGATCGCCATTTCATCCACCACAGTGTCTACCCTACCTGATCACATATCATTGCACGGATTTTCAAGAGCTAGCAAGTGGTGAGATAAACGACATTGAACTTTCCACCAGCTGGCCGAGGGATAAAAAGATCTCCCAGCTTTATGCCCATGTTTCCAGCGCGCCACTGCGAGCAAAGGCACATCATCGCGACGAAAAGAACAACTGACTAAGGTACAAGGCCCTTCTCCCCAAATAAGGGAAGGGGGAGGGGGGAGGGATACATCCTTTCAGCTTTCGAACATAGTAAAACTTGTGGTGGCCACAGAGAGAAGGGCAACTGAATTACAACCCTACCTCGTTGAGGGCTGAGCACGCTGTCTGTTGCGGAATCCCCAGCAGAGTGGTGTTCGTTTGCTGCGAGAAAGGTGGGGGGGAGAGGGTCGTATCAAACCTGAGAAAGAATTTTCGATAGCTGATTCTCCCTGTTTCACGTGCGCTATGCCCACTGTCATGAGATGCCCATTGTGGAGGGGAGGGAGAGGATTTGTTCGTCGCTTTGATAGAGAGAGGTCATACCTGGCCCTAGGGTGATAAGCAGGTTGGTGCAGGGGGGGGGGGTCGCAGCGGAGGGGGAATTCTGGAGGGAGGGTCATATATCAAAGATTTTTCCACTACACGAACCAATATCACGGCGAGTGAAAGCTATCGCCCATTCATTTACTGGGCGCTGTTCGGCTCGCGAGGGGGGGGGTATGTGACAAGAGGATCGTAATTTGCCGCGCTGCTGGGCGTCGCGTGCGACGTCCGCCCGCAAAGGACGATGGTTTCAGGCAGTAGATGGCGACAACATGCAATTAAGGACCGAAAACAGTAATGAGTGTCTACGATGACGGGGTCTACATGAAGTCCGGTGCTCCATTCGACAGGTTAAAACGAGTTATGAAAACGCCGCGCCCATCGCCGCGCGTGGCGGTGCGGCGAATTACGATCCTCTTTACCGTCTCCCGCGAGGGGTATTTTGTGATTTCGCTAGTTCCTTTTGCTAGATCATGTCAAGAACAGGTATCAACCTGTAAACACTTGTGAAGCTGCAATATGGCATAATTCAGCCACATTGGTTGCAAGTATTCACAGGTCTTCACAAGGTAGCCGGTATAGGCTTCGCTGGGTATTGCTTGCGACCCCCACTAAGGCAACTTGCACCGCTTTACCATCGTGCACTTGGTGAGTAAGTCCACCCACCCCCTCCCCCAGCCCGTTCGACACCACTTTTTCAAGGGAAGATCAGAAAGTTCTCTGGTAAGTTGGATTGGAGTAAGAAAATTGAAAATTACATAATACACTGGATAACGAAAGTGGGGGGGGGGGTAACATTAGATAAGAAAAATGAAACTTTCTCGGCAACTGTACTTTACCACAGCGCAAAGCTTTACAAACCGTCGAACACAGGAAAAACACCGTGAAATGAAGCCAAAATGGCTCTATCACCCTCCCTACATAACGGGCTTTCACTGCTGGACTTTTCTTTGTTCGAGTTGTTAAAGCATCATTCGCACAGGAGAGGACAGCTGAGGCAGTTCGCTCAAGCTTGGCCAGTTTTTTCTTGAAGGATTGTTCTTCAAAAGACCGAGAGATCTATTTGTTGCGAAGGAGTTGCCGAGAGTGATTGATACTGGTGTTGCATACTTTGATTGATAGTTCGCTAGGATTTTGTTAAAAAAATCGCTAATATTCGTATCGATTTTTGAGGTAGTCTGCAACTCTTTGCAGGTATCGTTGGAAGCAACTTCACTCCCCCTCCCTACTGTTCTGTTCACCTACCCACAGCGAAAATAAAGAATGAAGCTCCCGCCATTGACCAGTCTCTTTCTGGAATGCGACGCGCACTCGGCTTCCACTCAAAATCCTAATGGCTTACTGAATGGGGCAAGTTGTAGAACTCAGCCAATATAAGGGTCACTGTTGAAATTCCACCAGGTGAATTTGGGGCGCCATTCGGCTTGAGAAGGGCATTTTGCACATTTGCTCGTTCCTTTCACTAGTTCGTGTTAATTAACAAGTTATACTTTGGTGAGACCTGTAAACTCCTGTGAAGTTGTGAAATGGTGTAAGTGAGCCTTTCTAGTTTGAGGATTTTACACGTCTTCACAAGGTAACCTGCACTGTTGGTAAGTACTCTTTGGTGCCCCTACCAAGCCTCACTGCGCCCAAATTTAGTTCCAAATTACCGAATCCAGGGAAGAGAGACTGGGGTGGCTTGAGCGGGAGCTGATCCAAGTTCTGACCTCCGGACCAATGTCGTGGTACCCGGGCCACTTGCCACTGCGCCATGGACGAAATGTCTGCTAACTAATGATCACGATCGGTTGGCCACCACCGTCTCTAGGAAGGAATACATAAGGATTATCTCAAATTCCTCAGATTCTTTGTAGCAGTGGAATGTTTTTGGAAATAAGATTTCGCTTGCACTCAAGACAATGAGGTGTCGGTCGCGAGGTCCGTGTTGAGACGACATGGCAAACTGCAAGCATTACGTGCGCGACATAAGCACCAGGACATAGCTGGATCGACGAGGAAGTGCTATAGTATTCCGAGTCATTCAGTTGAGAATCACTAGTCAAGCACATCGTGCGCTGGAGATCCCCAGCAAAGGAGGCGAGGGGTCGAACTCGATCATTCCAAATGTCTGAGGGGGGGGGGTCACTTTTGCCTTTGTGAAGTGCTTTCGGCTGTCAAGCTCTTGCGGAATTTCGGGAAGAACTCTGGCAAAGGGGTTCGAGGTTGGGGAAATTCAGAGCGATGGTAGGTAGAATGAGGAAAGGGGGTCGTATTTTCCGAAATTTTTGCCCAACGACAGGACATACACTGACATTAGCGGGTTTGTGCCGCCGCAACATGGATCTCATAACCGGCACCGGGGACTTGCCGGCTTCAGCCTCGGTTCTGCCCTAGTTGAATCATTGAAGCACACGGCAGGTAATTTGGACTCGGGCAAAAATGCTAGCAGGATGATATAGTGAGGGAAAATGGCCAAAAAACGATGTGAAACCACGACTCAGAAAGCAATTTCGGACGAGTCTCCCCTTGGCATCGTGCCAATAATCGCTACGGTAGATACGGCTGCATGTATGTGCTTATGTATCCATGCAGCACCGCAGCCGCTTCACATCAATTCCTTCGCTTCATACTTCGCAAATGAAGTGATACGAGCGTCAGCACCGATGCGTGGGGGGGAGGCAGGCCCGCGGGGGGGGGGGGCGCGTCTGGCTCGGTATGTTGCAGCTTGACAGGCCGTTATAATGGCACTTCTCTCGGAAAAGGCGCAGCGCAGCGCCTGCTCAGAGGCGCGAATTCTGTCCTGCTAGGCGTTCCAATCCTACACGTCTCTCGGACTTATCGTGCCATTTGCCTTCAAGTCTTTCACCATGATAAAGGACTGCCCTAAGTTTAACGGGACTCCTCCTTCTAGTCAATCAAAACTTGCTCCGGAATAGTAAAGCTAGCTTTTCCACATTACATGGAATAAAGAGAGAATCAGCTGAGGATGACTAATGTAGGATACGGTAATTTACATGAAGCTAGAGCGGCTTTTGTTTGGAAGAATCGAGAAAATTTCTAAAAAAAGCTGAAAAAATTCCCGAGAAAAACTGTAAGAAATCGAAGGTCTGAATAATTGAATACTCACATGATTACATAATAGAGAGAAGCCGTGAATAAATCCCGTTGCTTCATCCCGTCACGGAGCACATTTGAACAGCTGAAAAGAGGCAGTGAATAAGATGCGATGACGAGTAGCGAAATGATAGGCGAAGACGAGACAAGTGGGCGTGTCCAGCGAGGGATTTTAATTCCTATTTGAGAGGATTTTTTACGAAGAATGAGCTAAAAGAACAACGTATCGAGTGCAAATACGAGCGGTACTAGTTTTCCAGCAAATAAGAGCACAAAATGATAGGTATTGATTGGTTACTCGGGTGTACGCCATGTCCTTGACTGCTTTATAGGAGTGTGGAAGTATTAGGGCTCCTATTTGCACTGTTCATTGGCATGGTGGGCCTACCAATATGATAGATATATTATAGTCCCCTCTCCGACTCAACGGTGTTCGGCTAGGGAGGGGATTTGCACTATTGTTAGTGCTTTTTGCTAGTTCATGTCAACTTGCACCTCACAAGGTCCGACATTGATGCCATCTTCACCGCCAGACAGCTCATGGAGAAGTACAAGGAGAAGTGGCGACCCTGACACCTAGCCGTTCTAGACCTTGAACGCATTAAAGGCTGTCTCGGTCTGTACTCTGAAGAGCGCTCAGAGAACGTAACGTTCCGGAGCACCTGGTCTCCATAGTGAAGGACATGTACGATGGGGCTAAAGCAGCTGTACGCACCCCTCACGGCTTGACAAAGAGGTAAACATTACGGTTGGGGTACACCAAAGACCAGCCCTCAGCCCGTTCCTCTTCCTCCTGACTCTAGATGTCATGGCAAAAGAACTCATGGAGGGCCACTGAAAACCATCCTCTACGCTGACGACATCGCCCTGATAGCGGACAGCAGGGAGGAACTTCAGGACAAGGTGCAGCGGTGGCAGGATGTGCTCGCTGAGAATGGACTCCGGCTGAACGTAAAGAAGACCAAGTTCCTGAGCTCCGAAGAGTGTACGAACCCATCGTAGACCGCCATGGCGAGAGCATCGAAAGGGTCGAGGATTTCCAGTACCTGGGGAGCAACCTAGCAGCTGATGGCAGCGTGGACCAGGCGGTGAAGGCCCGAATCAACCCTACCTGGATGAAATGGTGGGATCCGCTAGCATCCTAGTAGTTCGGCGGTCCGGCGAAGCTCAAGAACGCTCAAGGGCAAGGTGTACCGGGCGGTGGTAAGGCCTACAATGCTCTACGGCAGTGAGTGCTGGCCTATCTGCAAGAACCATGAAAGGCAGCTCCACTCAGCTGAAATGAGGATGCTGAGATGGGCCTGCGGTTGGACACGACTCGACAGAGTCAGAAACGAGGACGTCAGGGCGATCACACAGGCGGCTCCGATCCAGCTGAAGGCACGAGAGCAGCGACTGCGATGGTATGGGCACGTACTGAGGAGGCCTGAAGACCACCCAATAAGGAAGGCATTGGAATTCGAAGCAGAGGGAAGGAGCCCAAAGAAAAGATGGAGGGACGTCATCAAGAAGGACCTCACTGAAGTGAAAGCCACGGCAGAAGATGCAGTGGATCGGAACAAGTGGCGACGTCTAACAAGAACAGCGGACCCTGCGACGGCGCGGGACTAACGCTAGGGAGAAGAAAAAGAAGAAGAAGTTCCTGTCAACTTGCAGGTTTCACTTTCCTGAGAACTGCAGACTCTTGTGCTGCTGCGAAATAGGACAAGTAAACCACATTGATCACAGATGGACTGTTCAAGCTTCGCTGAGTAACATTACGTGCCCCCATCTAACCAAACTGCGCCCATAATCGACCCATTTTCAAGGACGCATCCGCGGTGATTGGATAGGTGAAAAATGATATCCAGGGTTCCTTCGTCGAAAGTGTTCGTCTGTTTCTATTACATCAGAGAGGGCGATATCCATACGAAAGGTGTTTGGGGCCATTCACACGCTCATCCCATTGTCGTGGAATGTGCAATGTGCTTTTGATGGGATTCCGAATAGCCTGCGGTGGGTCAGGAAAAAGGAAAGTCTGAATGGCAGAGGTTCTCCTACTGACGAGCAATTTCCGCTTTACTAGGTCTCGATAGGGGTCGTAAGCGCGTCCTGGCGATGAAAAAACTGCGAGATACGAGCCCCCCCCCCCCTTGAGATTTTCGCTTCTGTATGATCATTCCCCGTCATATCTCCCATCTTCGTGAAATTTCCCAATTCCTGCAATTTTCATGGAGACCTTCAGTTTGTGAGCAATAACCACCACCGAGCATGGGGTTTATAGCACCAAGGAAACGAAAAAAAATAGGAAAAGTCAACAACGAAAACACTTTTTTCCTCAGGAATAAGTACGACTTTCTCCCTCCCCATAACGAATTCGATCCCTCTCCCACTTTCTCGCTGGGAAGCTCCAATCTTTCACGTGCCCTTTTTGCAATGTCACAGTAGGGTTTAGCTGATGAGCCAAAGAAGTTTCGAGCCATCCCACAGGGGCACAGGGGCATGACCCCGTGCGGATAAAACATTAGTGGGTGGACATTCGTGTAAAGCTGGAGAACCACTCTCAGGTACTCTGGACCTGAATGATTCGAGGTGAATGTCCGCGGAGATTTCGAGTCGACTACCCAGAGAGTATAGCACTGCACAGTCTCTCCCCACTCTACTTTTGTTTGGGAACGAGCAGTCTCGTGCCACTTCCAAGCCTTAGTTATCCTCTTCCATTTGCGTCAGCTCGCAATGAATTAGAGGTGAGTGAGTGAGGTTAAGACAGTGCGATATAGCTTACTGAACGAGGGGTCGTATTCAAGTCACTGGACCGTCGACAGCCCTCCATTCCAAGAAATCGAACTTGAATCAGAACTACATGTGCTCGAATGGAGTATTAGGTTTGAAGGCTAACGAAGTTGCTCAAGAGCTGTATTTGGGATGAAGCTCATCAAATATTGATAGGAAGCACATTAATCTGCTAAAAAATTTCAAAAATACTCTGATAAGAAACATTCACGATTCACAGCACGCAATCGCATAACTGAATGAACAAGGGCAACAGCATACAGGGGGGGGGGGCAAAAAAGTCACTTCGACCGAGTCACATATCAGCAAAGTTTTCGCAGCCCAGACAGAGGACGTGGATACGAGTACCAGGGCGGAAGATACCCAAGATGTTCCTCTATAAGCAGGAGCTGGCTCTCGCCCATCACCTACACCAAAATATGAAGTCATCTCCAGTCGCAGCCTGACTGGAGAAGACCTTTGGAATTCATGTCACCTCCAAACAGCTGCGTATGGAGTCACCCATGGATAGCTACCTGGAGACCAGTACTCTCGATCTGGATGACCTCCAACATCGAGCAGCTCCGACAACGTCGCCACGGTCTAGGACATCATCTTCACCGCAGTCGCCAAGGCGCGGGTTGATGGTATGGACCGGACGTACCTGGAATGGAAAGACCAATATTTTCTTCGTGGACTGAAGGTGAGCGCTGGCGGTTACATCGAGCAACT